AACATTAACAAACAACGGCATTGGAAGAAAGCACTTTCAAATTGCCTTTTTACTCATGTAATCCTGCAGCATCCACAAGGCAATCACCAGATAAGCTTCCACATCCTATGACAGAGCATATTTCCCTCTGTCATAGAATCAGTCAACTTAAATATTGCGGCAACGGCCCAATAAAATACGCTATGCTAAGTCGAAGCTTTGCTCACCTTAAAATGCAAATGATTAAAAGCTGAAGGTGTAACCCATGCTACGGGTCATTTTCCAATTAATTTGTCCAATCATTATCTTATCACTTGGAGGCACTCGTAAGGTATTGAAATATCATTCCCAGATGATCAGTTGATTAAATAAAACACACAATGAGATGGTGACGTTGTCATAGAAACAGTAATAAACATTGTCCTGATGCAGTGGGACACCGAACACAACATTTTTCTTTTTTTTTTTCCCAGGCATATGTTGCAAAATAGGAAACGGTACGAAAGCAGCTTAAGAATCCCCATATTTTTGTTTTCACAATCTGTCTATAATGTAGAATAATAAAAAATTTGGCAGTTTGTCTTTAACTAGATTTTTAGCAAAAATAATCACATGCAGCCTTTTAGCTCAGCACCGATACGTGTCATGATGCTCATTTTCATCAATGTGAAATCATTTGAAGGAGAGACATATGAAATAATAATATATGCAGTGAAAATATATTCTCTCAATTCAGAAGAGACGAACATGAGTAGAGTAAACACAGCTGAGTAAACACCGGTATACCAAAGAAGTCAGCATTCAAAACGGTTTTACAACGTTAGAGCGTAACAAGTAAGATGGCTATACATAACCTCACAGAGAATTAATAAAAAGCATTAAGTAGTTTTATACCACGGGTACAATAGTGTGACCTCTTCCCTTCTGAGGAAAAGTCAAGAGGACACAGACTGGCTTCAATACCACCTGCCTACATATCCAGCAAATCCTCCACAGCAGGGAAAAGATCTTCTTCATGTTTCCTGATATCGTCGTCATAAGATGCAAAAGATGGAAAAAAAAAAAAAAAAAAAAAAAACAACCCTCCATCCAGTCTGCGCCCTGTGTGTAAAAAAATGTTCAGTAATGCGGTCAGACGTCGTACATCGTGCAGAGCAGCTTCTCAGAAACCCGTCGGCCGGTTTGGATGATTGACACGTCCATTGAACAGTTACAGCCAACGGCATCCGGGGATGTTTACAAAGATTCACGTAGGCAACATCATTTACCATTCATGGTATCCAGGAGACCAAAAAAAAGAAAAAAGCTGAAAACAGGCAGAAATCACATCAGCGTGATGCAGGAAACAATGAGTTACGGGAGCCAAGAGAAAATGTATGCTTTAGCGCACATTTTGACGACAAAACAGCAAAAGGTGTGATGTTGTTTATGCTTTTAGCTTCATGTGTGACTCCTAGTTTTTCCTCTTCTTTGGCTGGTGGCTCAGTGAGTTTGTATCTAGAACAGTAATACTTATAAGAGCAAAATACAGGCTAAACCAGTAGCCTGACTCAATAACTTGAGCTGAAGAAATTAAGAGAAAACGTTTCGCTGTCAACAAAAACAAAATAAACATATTTTATTATCTAAAGAAAAAGAAAAACCCAGGCCCTTAAAAGCTAATGCTTGCCACCCACTGTTTCCATCTGCCACAGTTCTTCTTGCATTCATCAGAGTGCACTCTTACTGGCCTCCTTTCTTAAAAAGCTGACTCCCCATCATCTGCCTCATCTCTCCCATCCCCTTCCATTCGGACCCAGCCACCCCGGCCCCTCGCCGCCCTTCTCTCCCCAGTCATTTCCTCCCCCAGTTGCACTCCAGCATAAATCACCTCTCTGCGATAGTTTTAATGGCTTTTTAATGAGCCTAATGTTTTCTGTTTTAATGAACTTCTTACGTCAGCCTTAATCATTTTAGTAGGATGAAAAATGATTGAGAAATGGCCTACATTAATTTAATTTACTGTTCAATCTGCACAGTCCTCTTTACAATCCTGGGGAAGCCAGGGCCATGGAGTAAAAAAAAAAAAAAAAAAAGAGGGGAAGAAATGGGGGGATGAATGGAGAACTGGAAGATAGCGATATTACCAAATGGGATGAAAACAATTTAGACCTACCAAAAAGCAAAGAATTGACAGACCACGGCGTTTGAGATAAAGATTTAAATTGTACTTAGGGTTGGAATTTATTGGAATTGCTCAAAAAAAGGAAAAAGTGGAGCAAGAATGAAGGGATGTGTTGGAAGCTGTAATTTATGAGGCTACACTATAGGCTTGTTGTTCAGGCTTATCTCCAATTAGGCTCCATTGTTGAGGCCTGCCAGAGCTGCTTTCTGCTACTCTGAGAGACCAGCAGATTTACACAGCCATTAACACAGCAGGCCCTGAATAAATGAGAACAATATTCAGCATCTGTTGCTCCGTGAGTCTTGGATTGTTGCTCATTCCAACTAACTTTTTTTTGTTTTTTCCCCTCCTCTTTTTCCACCCATCGCCTGCCAAAGTAACAGGGTTGTCGCTTTGCCATGTATGAATCAATAAAACCCTAAACCAACTGGTGAGCCCTTCGAATCTAGGAAAAGAATAATTTCTTTCTTTTTTTTTTTGTATGTAGCTGGTGCACCAGCTTTGCCAAGGACAACCTTCCTCACTAGCTCACAGTGAGATCAGCCTTCAGCTTGACTCTGTTGATAGCAAAAGACTGTAAATGTGCCAAGGCTCGCTGCCAAGATTGCTTAGCACTACCTGAGCTAAGTTGTCCTTTGCAGTCTGTGTTTGTGTGTGTGTGACAAAATGTGAAACTTCTCCTCAAGGCTGGAAACATTGGTGTGCATCAGTAATTATTTGAATAATCTTAGCTGTGGCTATCTTGAAATTACAATCTCCTTATTGGATAGGATTTGTGCGAGGGTAGGCAAAGGTCATGGTTGGTACCAGACAGGTGATGCTGAATATTCTATCAAAACGTATCTTTGGCTTGAGTGGCATTTTTGACACATGATCGTTAAAATTTCCTTATTCTTTTGTGAATCTGTCAGGTGGACATGTTGACTGTAGTGCTGACAAAATGAGTTCCTACTTGTGTATTCATCTATTCTGCCCCTTTGAGTTTTTGACTAACATCTTATCCTGACATGTTTTGGTGATGTTGGAGACCCAAATACAGAGAAGGCGCAGTAAAAGTAATTTATTTATTTTTTTTTTTTTTTTGCAAAACCTTACTCAAGTAAATGTATCTACCACCCAACTCTGTAAATATAAACAGTTATATCATCCAGGGTGATGCATTTTTATATGATAGGCAAAGATCAGTTGCCTCTACCAAGGAACACAAAGTTTTAAAAAGTTTCAAACCTAAATAAAATTTCCATAAGAAAGCAACCCTGTTTAAAATCCTTTTAATGCCAGAGGAAGCGTCAGAGTAAGGAGGGTTTTCTCTCCCTGTATGGAGCCTAGAGTAGCGCAGCGCTACCCCACCCCCTCCTGTTGCTGCATGCCAATTGGCTGAAGGAAGACAGCAACGGTTTTCACCTGCTTACAAAACGGGCACATTTGGCCGTGAATATCAGCGTGTCACGGCGTGGAAAGGACCACTTCCACCTACTCCTATTAAGATAATGCTGTTTTAAAACTACAGCTTGAGTTTTACAAGCAGCCCATTATCTTAAGCAGCCGACTGCTGACTGACTAAAGATGATTCCTTTATGCAAAGGTGACCTTTTCGTGAGGACTAGAGGGTACCTGGACTTGAAGAACTGCTTTAATTGAAGTTGATCTATAGGGTATGAATCCAAGAAGTTGTAGTTTCAGCGGCATATCCGTACTGAGTGCTGTTTGCCGATATCAAACAGTAAACATTGATTTAATTAAAGCATTGTATCCCTTACTTGCATGGCTATTAGATGAGGATAGCAAAAGAAATTGCAATATTTTCAAGACATAAGAATAAGTTTTACTTTTTAGTTTTAAATCAAAGCAATAAGATGACGTTCCATATTTTTTGTCAGATTTAGTGGGGGGTAAAATCTGTTATTTAAGGTAAATATACAGTGAGAATATCCTTGCAGCCGCGACAGAAATAAAATTAAAGCTGCAAGCAGACTCAAACGGCCCTCGTCAGACGTCGGATGATATAGGATCATCAGGCATCCAACCAGGATCGCTCATGCCAAGTTTGGTGTAGGTCGGTGGAAACACGTGGAATCTAGAGCCAAACGTATGGCAACGGCGTGACAAGTCACTTCGCCACGCCCACCTACTCCATCGAAACCGGTCAGGGTTGGAATCCACATCACACCCACATTTCTTCTGTCTGTGGACACAGTTTCATGTTGATTAGGTCGAAAGGGGTCAGATAGAGACCATTCAAAGTAAAACATGACACTTCCTGTTTTCAGGGGGCGTGGATTAAGGGATGTCATCATTTGAGCATTGGGTATTGTAGGGCACGTGAAATTTGAGCTAAAACAAAACGGATTTAGTTTCTACAAATCAAAAACGATAAATTTAGCTTTTATTTAGTCCGCTTTATTCAAAATAGTTTGGGTTTTTTAAAGATATTTACATCTGTATCAGCCGTAGAACTGAAAAAAAATCCAATCCACAAGGGCAGATCTATTCAGTCTAATTCTATAATTTGTGCTTTATTTATTTTACACTATATTCAGAATAATTAGACTTTCTGAACTATTTCATAGAAGTTTTGTTGTGGTTCACGTTCAAACTAAGAACAGACCAGTAATTAAAGTGTAGAAATATTGCTTTCAACATATTGTAAATATATGTAGCCTGGTAAAATGAGGAACTCAGACACAAAGCTATGAATGTTTTGTTTTTTTTTTTGTTCTTTTTTTACCAATACTCTAATAGAAGAAGAGTATTGTTAAATTAATTTGGAGTTATACAGAATGGTAAATTTTCGGTAAAGATCTTACAGTGACAGCTACTTGAATAGCAAGAATCAAATAAATCCCTTTTTTTAAACTGAGTGCATAAACAACTGAAGCAGGCACACTTCTATAAAAAAAGAAATAAAATCACACAGACTTCTTACAATATGATCAACCTAGTGTAACATCTCAAAATACTCGCATAGTCTGCTTACAACTCAAAATCGCAGATGGCAACGGGCCATTCACCCTAACTGGCGCTGTATAGAAAGGTCAGATAAACATACATTCAGTAAAATAACAGATTATTGTTTAACTAGAACCAGATATCATTTAACAGAAACTCACAATATGTTAAGACATACCCAGCCCCACAGTTCCTCACATAGCTTGAACAAGCTCCACAGTTCATCACGGAAATCTTCTGTTTTAGGACAGTAGAAAACCGTTAGGCACGTTAGCACACCGCAGCGAGCAGGACAAAGCTGCTTGTATAGGTCTAACGGTTTTCATCCCATTCTCTAACGAGCCGGCACACACAGCTCCCTCTGGTGGCCACTACGACACAACGCCTCTCCACTCTGCTACATATAATATAGTATGTGAATGTATTGTGTATAAATATTTAAAATGTGACGTGAGCTCAAAGTGCGACGCTACAGTTAGCTTACCAAAGGATTGTGTTTAAAAAATAATAGCACAGCAGGTACGGAAAACTACAAACGCAAAAATTCAATCATATTGAAGTCTATTGTTAATCTCTTCATGTTAAATAAATAAAAAAATATTACTTATTATTTAAGTATTTAGTCATTATTTCAGCTTGACTCATGCAGAACCGATCTGATCGTTTCCATAGCAACAATCAGAAGCAATACCTTGCCCCAGAAGTCCAGTGAGCTCACTGATGAGGCCATTGATGACATCATGTACATCACAGTAGATCAAAGAAGTTCTAAAGCTTGAATCTCAAGGCATCAGTCATAAGCCAGACAGTTCTTGGACAATCAGATTTATAGAAAGTGTAGAGATGTTTAGCATTTCGCATGCGATTGTCCCATTTATTATCCCGCTTGGTTGGGGCATTGGGTACATGGTCACCACGGGAATGATGAAGTTTTGGGACAAATACTTTTCTGAGAAGGATTCGGACGAAGATCTCTCTGAGGAAGAGCTCTCTGAGTGCTCTGGGGACTGTCGGGATGAAGAGAGCGACTAGGTTTAGGAAGGTCTTTCAATGGATGCCAAGGAACAAACCGACCCGGCTGGGGAGGTTTGTTCTCAACTCCATCGGATGTCTGTGGGATCACAGACAGAGACCTGACTGAGGCCACACGAGACAATACTGAGGACGAAGGTACTGTCTCTGGGCAAACTGACCCGGCTGGGGAAGTTTGCTCAAAGTCGACTTGACATCCTGAGGTTGAGAGTACAGCCGCAGAAAAGTCTACCCCGGCTGGGGAAGATTTTTCTGCGGCTGACCTTGAGAGTACAGCCGCAGAAAAGTCTACCCCGGCTGGGGAAGATTTTTCTGCGGCTGACCTTGAGAGTACAGCCACAGAAAAGTCTACCCCGGCTGGGGAAGATTTTTCTGCGGCTGTTCTCTCAAGGTCAGCCGCAGAAAAATCTTCCCCAGCCGGGGTAGACTTTTCTGCGGCTGACTTCGCCAAAACTTTTGCTGATTTGACAGCGAAAGCTTTGACGTCATCGGCTCCCTCTCTGGTTTTGCCAGAGAATACTTCTCTGAGGTACCAAGTTCCCCGGACGGGGAACATATCTCGGAGGAAAAGGGAGCCGTTAATTTGTCCAAAAATACTTCTCTAAATTGTAGG